ACTTTCCTCTGGAGACATTATTTAATAATAGTTTTTTTTTTTAAGAACTTATCCTTGAATCACAGGTAAAGAAATAATCACAGAATGAGTAACTGACATTAATAGTTTCACACTATAGTTGTACAGAATTTCTATTCTTTTTAGGGTTTTTCCAAATGGTTCTCACATTTCCCACACAACCCTGCAGTACAGATAGACTGCAATACAGTACAATTGTTACTGGTCTGACATAGTGGGACTGAGACCTGCTAGTGCCATGGTTGGCACCTATGATTAGTGAGGTCCAAGAGTAATCTTCTTTTCATTAAACATGCCCCAGCAAGACCTTCAAACCAACTTTATTAAGTTGATGCTAATGCATGCAAAGTGTTCCTAACACTTCTATGTTTTTATATACATAATGCAAAAATAAAGGCAAGATCAGGTACAAGTGCTATCAATATCTCAATTTCTTGTTTCCTTTTGAAAAACGTATTTCCCGCCTGGCATTTCCAACAGGATCCCTTGCTCTTGCCAGATTGTATGGTTTATATATGTTCCATCTAACATGTTTTAAAAAAATCTGCTGCCCTAGTTGGAGGAAATAATCACTTTCCATTAAGTTAAGCAGTCTCGATAAATTTTAAATTAAAATATCTGGCAGAGAAATCGAAAAATTTAGCTTTATGGTCTTGCCGGTCACCTAGCTACAGATAGAATTTGAAAAATTGGTTCCTGATCATTGCTGCTGAGGAGAGCCCTTTATTTCTGTTGTGACAGGACTGACTCAAGCTATTCATGAACGTGAAAAACTCCTGAATGTGTCATTCTGAGTTCCTGAGTTGAACATACACAGATGAGAAAAAAGAATGCCATTTAGCCATAACTACCCTTTCTAGATTACCAGGTATTTGTAGGTTTATTGGCAAGATAGCTTAAATTACAAATGTATTTCTGGCCTGCAACATCATGTAATAGAAGAGTTGCAAAATTATTTGCAGTTAAGAAAAGAAAGATGAGGATTTATTAAAGCCAACATACACTTCTGTGATTTTTGCACTCTTTACCACACACAAAGGAGGGCATCCTGGTGATACCACCCTGGATTTTGTATTTCCTGGTTCCATTTACAATCCACTGCCCTCTTCTACTGCAGCCCTGGTGTTTAGTCTGCATCTGAAAATTAAACCCAGAGCTTCAGCTCTTAGCATTAAATATCGAACTTCCTTCCAGCACACACCCTTACCAATGCCTGTATGGTAAGACTGATTAAAATCAAGACATTTAAAAATTTCATCAGCATTAGGAGTTAAGTTTGGATATTGAGCCATCTTCCTCCTTCTTTTTAATCAATTAGCAAAAGTGTGCCCAAAGGCATATACCACATGCATCATGTGGAACCAAATTAAAAGAAGAGTGATTTGTGCAAACTACAGTTCCGGGTTTTAGTGGAATTTTTTCCAAGCTTAGCTAAAACAATGAAAGAGTTAACATTTATCAAATTCCTTTTTTCATGAACAAAAGAAAAACTAAGGCAAAGTAAATGTACTTTTCCAGTAGTTATAATAAAAATATAGTTTTCCAACTCCGCCCACCTCTGTTCCCTGTTTTCTGCCAGGAAAGCTCACACGTTTTGGCCTGGTACTGTGCAGCCTCACTTGTCTTTGTAAAGTAGCTGCGTGATGGCTGGGATCAGTTCGGTGTTTAGAGGTCTTAGTGGCTGGTGCTTATAAAAATGTCACTGTACGCTTAAACTTTGAGAAGTCCTTTCATCTGAACATTTCTGAAGCCCCATTCCAATAGGTAAGACTTCTTGACCAAAGAGCTGCTCTTTAGCCATCCCACCCTGCCACTAGACACTAATGAGATGTGTGCAACTCTTGGCTACAGTTTTCATCTCCTTAATACTTCAAGGCTCCTGCTGGGAGTTACACAAGCTCAAAAGTCCTTTGGCCATTAGGTGACAAATATGAAGACATTTTTAAAAACATGTCAAGGTACAATGTATTGTCTACAACACTCAGCCATGTCTTTTAAGTTACTAAAGATGATTGAAGCTCAGATGTTCCTAACAACTCCTCAGTTACAGAAACAGGACTCTTTGGGGATGTCAGAGCCAGCTGCTTATTCTCCATGTCACCTGTTTCTGTTCCCTATTTGCACCACAGAAGCACCCTGTGTTAAGTCTGGCCAGACCATGACACTTAGGGCAGCTGAGAATGGGTTTTCCAACCTCATTCCTGACAGGGAGGGTTTTTCTTCTCTTCACTGAATGAATGCACACTTGTGGTACAGAATTCAACATGTAGCCAAAAACCAAGTCACTGGGAAGGTGAGAGCTGAGGTTTGCAGAGGTGGGAAGAGCCACCCGCCGCACCACATCACCGCTTTGGGAACCATTCCTTCCTCTGAAGGGTGGCCAGCCAGTGCTATGCCAAGAAGAGTGAGCTCTCCAATAACTAGACATTTGAGAAAACCATCATTTTGAGCAGGTGAGAGCCACACTGCCTCCAAATGTTTAATGGAATGAGATTCCTACCTTCTGATATCCTAGTCATGTTCCCAGCACTAACTGATAATTACTAGTAGCAGAATTCCAAGGTCGGCAGAAAGATACATTAATAAACCAACTATCCAGATTTTGTTAAGGACGGTTAAGTAAAGGAAACAATATGACCTACTACCATTTTCATCTGAATTGTGTCTAAGCAGTTAGAATATAGGAGTTTCAGGAGCTCACATCAGGCACAGTTTCTGGGAATATTTTGAAAAGCTGATCACATTCCATCTAGTACAAGGTCTTTGTTAAGTTCATGGCCTGAAAATTCTGTTTCCTTCCAGATTTGGAAGTACCTTGGTTTCCAGATAGTGTAGAAAAGTCAAACAGAAATGGAATAATTACAGCTCAATCCAGGAGGTTTGCCAGCTTGACTGAGCTCTATTCGTTTGGTAATCATGAGAAGGAATAAAATATACCTGCTGGCTTATATGCCGTGATCTGTTTCAGAGTAGTCACCTAAGTCCACACCTCATGTCATAATGAGAAGTGAGTCATTTGGGGACGGACGAAGTGTGTATCTGCCTAACAGCTTAGTGACTTTCTGGAATTTAAATATTAAGTGAAAAGACAGGGTCACAGGGCAGCTGATCTTTGGCTAGTCTCTCTTTCGTCTGCCCATGGCTTTGATCATGCTACATCCTCCTTTGTGGCCAGAGCTCCACAGAGAATCTCAGGGTCATGGCCTATTGCCTAGTCAAGAGGTATAAACCTGCTGCTTAAATATGTGAAGCCCGCAGTTTGGGGGTTGGGAGTTAAAGGGGAGGTGGCCTCATACGTTCCACTTTTCCCACAAAACCCAAAGCAGACTAAACAAAACCGGTGTGAAATCTCATGACTTGATGCTGCCATGGTTATATTTTTCAAGCTGTAATCCATTCATTTGTATGTGTGTTTATTCCCAGGATTTACAGCTCTCTCAGTCTTCAGGGAGAAATAGAATATTTGAAACCTTTTGCATAGGGTTTGAAGTACGCAGTGGCCTGTGATTAAAGCCCAGGATAGAGTCTGTGTGTATGTGTGTGTGTGCATTCATGTGAGTGTGTGAGTGCCCGTTCATGTGGGTTTTTTCCCTCCCGTTTGCTGCTTTTACGCAAAAGCGTCACACATGGTAGCATTTAGGAGCCCCTTCACAGCTGAAGTGTTTCAAACACTAATGAATGGAGGTTTGGTCATATAATGCAGACAAGCTTTAAGGCATGCTTTACTGAATGGTGTACTGTAGTGACCTGGGAAAGGAAGAGAGGTATAAATTGTGTCGGTTAGCCACCCAGACAAAATGAAGCCATGTGGAAAATCAAATCTATTAAAGTATGAAGACTGTTATAAGCTGTTTTAAGCTGGCCATTCTTAAAGGGGCTCGGTCTCCTGCAGGAGTAAATGTTTACCTCTTCTCCCAGATCTTTTTCACATGCTGTCTTATGAAACAATGTGCAGCATTTGATAAAAATCATCCTCTCACTAACGACGCTTTTATCGGAAATGTTTATTGTCTCCGCTTTACCACCCATGTCCTGAAAGGTACTGCACATTTGTTAAATAAGCAAAAGGGAAGAGAACTTTGCTGCTCAAGCCGGCTTGCCGAAACCCCAACAAATTCCAGAGCCATAAGGAATCAGAAAAAGGAAAAGGGAGGGAGGAGTTAGATTTATAGGAAGAGGGGGCCTTGCAAAAACATATATATTAGATTTTCTCTGCTTGGCTAGCCCACCATCAAATGTTTGGTAGAAGCAGATTAGTATTGAGATTGAGCAGTTACGCCAAACTTTGCTCACTGTCTCAAAATGTGCTTTAATACATACAAGGAGGTGGAAATGGATTTGGAAGCCTTGTTGCCCGCTCTGCCCCTGCTCTCACACTGCCTCTGCACAGTAGCGTACCAGTCACATGCAGATACTGGCACCAATACTGACCTGGCCCACATCCTGGTCCCACACGCCCTGTAATTTTGGAGCATATTACTTGTCTGTGCCTTGGTCTCCTCATCTGTAAAACAGTAATAACAACAGAAGGTGCCTAAGCATCTGGTAAGCACTCTAAAAATATCAACTATGATTACCAATATCTGGTAATAATATCCAATGCCAGTATCTGAAGAATGGCATGCTGTCGGGAAAAATTTATCCATTCCTGTTTTTTTTTTTTTTTTTTTTCCTAATTGGTGAGTAAGCGTGCATTGCCCTGACATTCTCTGGACAGCAAACAATTGAATTTGCTAACCAGCCGCCATGATGTCAAGCCTTAAGTCAACAGCGGCTAATGACTGCTCTGGGGAAAAAAACAACACCTTGATTCCTCAATTACGGTTTAAGAAGCCCTGGGAATAAGGGCTCGCCATCATCGTCATCCTCTTCTGAGGCAAGCATAACGTGCTGCGGAAACAGGTTACCTCTGCACTGTTTGCAAGAGCAGCCCACACAGTATGATGGTTGAGCGTCATGGTTGTACCCTTTGTGTGTTCCAGGAGGAAACTGAAGAGACATCCTCACAAGAGTCTGCCGAAGAGGACTAGGGGGCGCCAACGTTCGATTTCTACCTCAGCAGCAGTTGGATCTTTTGAAGGGAGAAGACACTGCAGTGACCACTTATTCTCTATTGCCATGGTCTTTCCACTTTCATCTGGGGTGGGGTGGGCGGGGCGGGTGAGGGTGGGGGTGGGGCGGGGAGAAATCACATAACCTTAAAAAGGACTATATTAATCACTTTCTTTGTAATCCCTTCACAGTCCCAGGTTTAGTGAAAAACTGCTGTAAACACAGGGGACACAGCTTAACAATGCAACTTTTAATTACTGTTTTCTTTTTTCTTAACCTACTAATAGTTTGTTGATCTGATAAGCAAGAGTGGGCGGGTGAGAAAAACTGAATTGGGTTTAGTCAATCACTGCACTGCATGCAAACAAGAAACGTGTCACACTTGTGATGTCGGGCATTCATATAGGAAGAGCGAGGTGTGTAACACTGTGTACGCCTCAGACACCACCCTAACCCACTCCCCGTAGTGAATCCTCTGTTTAGAACACCAAAGATAAGGACTAGATACTACTTTCTCTTTTTCGTATAATCTTGTAGACACTTACTTGATGATTTTTAACTTTTTATTTCTAAATGAGACGAAATGCTGATGTATCCTTTCATTCAGCTAACAAACCAGAAAAGGTTATGTTCATTTTTCAAAAAGGGAAGTAAGTAAACAAATATTACCAACTTTTCTATTATGGGTATTACACATATCAGCAGGAGTAATTTTACTCACAGCACTCGTTTTCAGGACAACACTTCATTTTTAGGAAATCTACTTCCTACAGAGCCAAATGCCATTTAGCAATAAATAACACTTGTCAGCCTCAGAGCATTTAAGGAATCGAGACAAGTAAAATTATCCCCTTTGTAATTTAATGAAAAGGTACAACAGAATAATGCATGATAAACTCACCTGAACTATGAGGTGGGAGGAGCGAAATCTAAATTTCTTTTGCTATAGTTAAATAACAATTTAAAAAGCAAAAAAAAAAAAAAAAAAAAAGGGCAGTCTCTCTTTCTCTCTCTCTCTTCCTCTCTCTCTCTTTTCATTGTGTATCAGTTTCCATGAAAGACCTAAATACCACTTACCTCAAATTAAGCATGTGTTACTTCAAGTAATACATTTTGACATAAGATGGTTGACCGAGGTGCTTTTCTTCGGCTTGAGTTCACCATCTCTTCATTCAAACTGCACTTTTAGCCAGAGATGCAATATATCCCCACTACTCAATACTACCTCTGAATGTTACAATGAATTTACAGTCTAGTACTTATTACATGCTGCTATACACAAGCAATGCAAGAAAAAACTTACTGGGTAGGTGATTCTAATCATCTGCAGTTCTTTTTGTACACTTAATTACAGTTAAAGAAGCAATCTCCTTACTGTGTTTCAGCATGACTATGTATTTTTCTATGTTTTTTTTAATTAAAAATTTTTACAAATACTTGTTTCAGCTTCTCTGCTAGATTTCTACATTAACTTAAATATTTTTTTAACCAAGTCGCTCCTAGGTTCTTAAGGATAATTCTCCTCAAACACACTACACATCACATAAGATTTGACTGTAATGTTTAAATACTATCCTCCAAGTCTGTACCTCAAATGAATTGTTTAAGGAAATGGACTAATTGACTTGCAAAGACCTACCTCCAGACTTCAAAAGGAATGAACTTGTTACTTGCAGCCTTCATTTTTTTTCTTCAAGGTTTGAAATAGTTCAAACTGCAGCTATCCCTAGTCAAAACTATTTTTATAAAAGACATTTGATAGAAAGGAACACATTTTAACATACTTTTGCAAAATAAGTAACTAAGTAATAAAAGCCAACCTTCAAAGAAACTTGAAGCTTTGTAGGTGAGATGCAGCAAGCTCTGCTTTTGCATAATGCAATCAAACATACGTGTTTTTAAGATTAGTTGAATATAAGAAAATGCTTGACAAATATTTTCGTGTATTTTACACAAATGTGATTTTTGTAATATGTCTCAACCAGATTTATTTTAAGCGCTTCTTATGTAGAGTTTTTATGCCTTTCTCTCCTAGTGAGTGTGCTGACTTTTTAACATGGTATTATCAACTGGGCCAGGAGGTAGTTTCTCATGACAGCTCTTGTCAGTATGGCTTTTAGTACTGAAGCCAAATGAAACTCAAAACCATCTCTCTTCCAGCCATTTCAGGGAGGTACTTTCAAAGGCCACATACCTCTCTGAGACTGGCAGATCGCTCACTGTTGTGAATCACCAAAGGAGCTATGGAGAGAATTAAAACTCAACATTACTGTTAACTGTGCATTAAATAAGCAAATAAACTGTGGCTCATAAAAATAAAAGTCACATTCCATATCTTTGGATGGGGCTTTTAGAAACCTCATTGGCCAGCTCATAAAAATGAAGCAGTTGCTCATGTTGGCCAAACATGGTGCACCGAGCAATTTCCATCTCTGATGAAGTTACACTTTTATTTCCTGTACGTTGTACAATCAAAACACACTACTACCTCTTAAGTCCCAGTATACCTCATTTTTCATACTGAAAAAAAAAAAGCTTGTGGCCAATGGAACAGTAAGAACATCATAAAATTTTTATATATATAGTTTATTTTTGTGGGAGATAAATTTTATAGGACTGTTCTTTGCTGTTGTTGGTCACAGCTAAGTAAGACTGGACATTTAACTTTTCTACCATTTCTGCAAGTTAGGTATGTTTGCAGGAGAAAAGTGTCAAGACGTTTAACTGCAGTTGAATTTCTCCCTGTTCCTTTGAGTGTCTTCTAACTTTATTCTTTGTTCTTCATGTAGAATTGCTGCCTATGATTGTACTTTGAATCGCTTGCTTGTTGAAAATATTTCTCTAGTGGATTATCACTGTCTGTTCGGCACAATAAACATAACAGCCTCTGTGACCCCCATGTGTTTTGATTCCTGCTCTTTGTTACAGTTCCATTAAATGAGTAATAAAGTTTGGTCAAAACAGGTCGAGGAGGGAGACACTCACAAATCATTTTGTTGCACCCCTTGCACACACCTTTGCACACATGTACATAAAGTGTGTTTTACATATCATACTCCTTCAATCAACTGCTCTGAGCTTGCCTTTCAGATCCTGACATTTAATTCTACAGAGACAATCTTAGAAGAAACATAAAGAATAAGCTGTGGTTCCAAACTATAGAATTTTTACTTAAGGCTGGCATCTACAAAGTTTGTAAGGGAAGTCACTGATGCACAAGTTGTCTTTAACGTAACATTGGAGAGATATCCAAAAGTTTGATGAAAGGAATACGAAATGAAAGCCACAAAGTGTCTCCTAGATAGGAGCCTTTTAACACTAAAAACTATTAGCAGAGTCAGAATGATTCCACCAAGTTCAAGATCAACTTGACACTTAAGTTACTAATTATTAATAAATCCAGGATTTTTAAAAAGCTAAAACTTTTGGTTTGTATTATCACCATTGTTACTTGAACTTTCTTCATTAGCTTCTTCCAGAAAGAACTTGCCAATTTTAAGACAGCTACTGTCAAAAAATGTGTTAAACATATTAGTTCATTTCTGAATTCGTTCATTTATTCTCACAGCCAGTATTCTGTGAGTATTCTGAGTTATCCTGAAAAGTGGTTGCATCCTAAAGTCCCTGCCAGTACTAGGGACAAATCGTAGGCCCTCTCACAAAACGTCTTTAAGGTCACCATCAGAGAGGGATCCTGGGCCTGCATGGAGAATGAGTTTCAGCCAATGTAGCATTTCACATGGGAATGTGGGGAGGGTGTGTATCTTTTCATGGGGCTGAGGATGCTCAACTCTTTGGGGAATTCAGGAATAGTAAGTGGTTTAGGAGTCTAGGTGAAATAAAAACAGAATTTAGGGATGAATACCCTCCAGCCGGGGGACATATGATGCAAACTCCAACTGCAACAAAACTTCAGAGAAGTGAAACCTAAGAAGTCCAAGACCAGCACAGTGGTGCCCTCCTATAATTTCAGCTACTCAGGAGGCTAAAGCAGAAGGATCACTTGGCTCCAGGAGTAGGAGGCTGTAGTACATTATGAGCTCACCTCTGAGTAGCCCCTGCACTTCAGCCTGAGCAACACAGAAAACCCCATCTTTTAAATTTAAAAAAAAAAAAGCCCAAGAGCAGAGAGAAGAGGGCAGTCTTGATGCTCTTCTTTACAAGTTAGTTTTATTTTGTGAGATGACTTTATTGAACAATAATAATTTCTAGAGATAGGTAAGATCATCCTTGAGCAATTACTCTTCAGATCTAGGAATTCTGGCCTAAAAGGGGAAGAAAAGTTGAAAAGAATCAAAACTATTTTTGAAATATGTAATTCAGATAGACAATGAGGGGGTCGAAAGGTAACAAGGGGTCTACCACTCTAGTCTGAGTTCAGCCATCTGTAAAACTTGGCAGTCTGCTTTCTTCTGAAGTAGGAGGGAAATGGCTGCAGATGTGACCCTCTCTCCTCCATCCTCGGCTTCTGCATTTGGGACTCCACCCAAGCTAAGCCAGTCATGTGTTGGTTCCACTCTCATACCAAGACCCAGTTGTGACCCATGGAAAATGCCTCATGTCAGTGAGCAATACTCCACTTTGGACCTAGTTTGCAATAGTTCGGTTCTTGTTTTCGCCTTTGAGCCTCACTCAACATCTTGATGATTTGCCTCCACTCCATGAGTAAGCCCATCTCAGCCTTCCCAGGGCCCTAACTCCTTCCCCTGTACTGCCACCAACCCTAAGTTTGACCCTTTATGACCTGTTAGTCCCATCTTCCTTTTCTCATTCAATTACCTATTTTCTCACTCTTGGATTTCACTTTTCCTGCAGCTTCCTTAATCCTAGTTTAAGCATACATTCTTGGGAGCATGAAATAGCAAGATTTGAGAATGTTGCACTGTCAGAACCCAGACTGTGGGGTATCTACCTTCAAAGAAACTTGCTATGTGAGGAAAATGGTAAACGCAGACCTAGCCCTAGTAGTATGCTGTCCCAGAGAATCTAGAGAGTTTGGAGAAAAGAGGAGCCCTTTAACACTGCCCTGCTTTCCCCAGATCCTGGAGATCTCGAAAGCACCAGTGTCCTCCCAAGCCAGATCATTGACTGATATCTGCTATTCCACTGGCCAGGTTTTAAAGGAACCTAAGTTACAGGAGCTGCCATTTAAGTGGAAATGCTCCAAGAGATGCAATGAAACTAAGACAAAGTTGATATTAAAACGCAGGTAGTTTAGTCTAGTGCGGGCTAGCAGCCCCTTTGCTAGAAATGAATGGCTATGTTAGCCAGGATCCCTTCAATTTCACAGGACATAAACCCAATTCAGAATGGCTTAAGCCAAACAAAACAAAACAAAGAAAATGTGTAGTAGCTGATAAACTAGGAAGTCCAGGATGTGGATCTTTAGGCATGGCTTGATCCAGGGAGCCAAGGATGTGACCAGAACTATAGTCTGTGTATAACCTATAGTTCAGTGTTTCTCTGTCTTGGCTTCATTCTTGGATAGGTTATCCTTTAGTGATGACAGGGTAGCTGCTGGAAGCCCCAGATCCCCATCATCTTGGTCTAGCAAACTCTGAAGAAAGATCCTTTTTTTTAACAATATTTCGAACAAAATATTGGGGTTGAATACTGTTGGGCCAATTTGGTTCTCAGTCCAGTCACTACAAAATCATTCTGGCCAAAATGAGTGGGAGTGGGGAGAAATCACTGATTGGCCAGATCAGATATGGGTCATGTGCCTGTCCCCAGAGCCAGTCCATAAAGGGGGACCCCAGTAAGTGAGGGGGAGGGACAGCCTCATGTGAAATACAAAATCAGAGATGCCCCAAAGACAAACCCAAGCCCATGTCCAGGAAAAGGGAAAATAGATACAGGAGAGGGGAAGGACAGCAGCTGCCTGTTAAAATGGCACAGTCAACAGCTCTCACTGAACACCCAGAAACTGAGGTGAGATAGATGTGAGTAAGGCTGCAGAACATCACAGACTACCATGAAAATGAATGGAAATCAAATATCCCGAGAGTTGCTGGTCTGGCAGTGAACTTTGCAGGGGGATAAAGACCTGCATTTAGAGGCACTGAGACTTTGCTGTTTTTCTCCATGGAACAATTTAGCCTGTCTTGACTGGGACAAGTAATGACAACTCTTTTTGCAGCATCAGTTTTTTGCTTACAAACCACTTTCACATCTTCTTTCTTTTCATCTTCAGCACCATGCTGAGTGATAGAGCAGGTATTATTATTATCATTTTATTTATTTTACAGATGGGTTAACTGAGGCTCAGAGAGGATAAGTGACTGCCTTGGGAAGACAACTAGAAAATGGTAAAGCCATAATGTAATCTTAGGTTCCACAGTCTTCTCTAGACTGGTGTATACCCACAGAGTACTGGAGGCAACTGCTGCCCAGGATAAGCCTTCTCTTGGGTGCACATTGCTATCATAGTTAGGCCTAGCTTCCCAAGCTTCAGTCAGGTTTTCCAAAGTTATATTTCCCAAGGGAACACTGAAATAGCAGCACGTTCAGTCTCCAAGTCTTCAGTACCCTTCAATTTGAATGCTTCTTTGCACTGTAGAACACCTAAACCTAGCTATCCATCCCACTTAGCAATCTAAGAATATACATCAAAAGGCTACGAGCTCTATCAGATTTAGGGGATCCTCTAAATTGCAGCAAGTAAGCCGGCCGTAAGACTCAGAACATTCTGCAGAACCAGTAACGTTTAAGGTCCCATTCCTCTATTTTCAGTCTAGTCCCCAAATCTGTAGGCTCAAAGAAGTTCCCTGTGGTCTCAACTCTGAAATCAGGCATTAAGTGGGCTGATAAATGGTAATTATTTATCACAATAGGATATATTTAGCCATAAAACAATTATGTTTAGCCTAATCCCAGCCAACTGAATCATGTCATGAAAAATAAAACCTGTATTTCAACCAGCTGATAAAAATGTGAAACTTATCTAAATCCATTTTATATATATTTTTTGAGATGGAGTCTCACTGTCACCAGGCAGGAATACAGTGGCATGATCCCAGTTCACTGCAACCTCCACTTCCCAGGTTCAAGCGATTTCCCTGCCTCAGCCTCCCGAGTAGCTGGGAGTACAGGCATGTGCTATCACGTCTGACTAATATTTTTTTTATTTTATTTTAGTAGAGATGGGGTTTCACCATGTTCGCCAGGATGGTCTCAATCTCCTGACTTTGTGATCCATCCATCTTGGCCTCCCAAAGTGCTGGGATTACAGGCGTGAGCTTCTGCACCTGGCCCATAAGATATATTGTACTGCCTATCCAACTATTACAGAAGTTATCTTTACAAGACAAACATCCTCAAATACCTCCTGAATGTGTCTGCTTTCTTTTCGTTGCCATTGCCACTACCACAGTTCAAGCACCACTACCTTTCTATGCTCTGTGTGCTCTCACCCCACTTCAATTTTTTTCTCTACCCACAGCTACTGTCATCTTTGGAACAACAGAAATCCAATCACAAATTCAATGGTCTCAATAAAATTCAAAATCTTTCCTATGGCCCAACTGGCCTGGCACAGCCTTCCTACTTCCTTTTTGAGCCCGAGCTCTCTCAGTCTTCCTTACTTTGTGCTCCCTTGCCTTAGGGTGGCTTGGAATGCACCTCTCTCTTTCCTGTAGCCTTCAGCCCTTTCTACCAGGCTTTAGAACCCCATCAGGAATTCTTCTCCCCCTCAGCCTTTCTTCCACTCTGGCAAACCTCCTCAGTCTTTAGATCTCAGTTGAAATGTTTTTCCCTCTAGGGCAACTTCTCTACCTCTCACTCCTAGCTCTGACATATAGTCGGGTCCTCTAGTGTGGGGACCCCCAACCCCCATTACCGAACCATTACTAGGTCATGGTTTGTGACCTGGTAAGAATTGGGCTGCACAGCAGG